TTTTGAAACTTTAAATGAAGATATCTCGAAAGCTACTAAACCAAATTCTATAAACATTTTTTATTTATTTGAATTCTACGAATTCATAGAAACAAACCAAAAAAAAAAGTCCATAAAATTTGGTTAGAAAACTTTTGAGATATCTTCGCTAAAAGTATTAAAACCAATTAGACCAAAATATAGTTGTTAGGCGAAACTATGTGATGCTAATCATCACATAGCCACAAATAGTAACATGTGAATTCACACGTTAATAGCACTAATATTATTAACATGTGGCTATGTGATGATTAGAATCACATAGTTTCGCCTAACAACTATAGACCAAAATTCTTTTAAAACTGTGAAGATGTACAACCACTTAACCGAATTCTACGAATTTGTAGAATCAAAATAAAAAAATCTTATCGAATTTGATTAGATAGTTGTTGAGATATATTTAGGGATGGTAAAAAACGGTTTAAATAGTTTTTTTGGGGGTTTAAATCATTTTAAAAAAAACTTTTAAAACATTGGTGACTGAGTCTGAAAATGAAATAAAAATTAGCCGAACGGCCAATTCGGTGTATAGAGTGTGAGCAATCATGTTTGTGACGAATAAACAATGCCTATATATTTTATATAGACAATGCTTATTAGTCATTATTAGTCACTCGTATCGGTCACACCCTCAATTCTTAACTTCAATATTTGAAGTGTGACCAATTATAAGTGACGAATAAGCATTTGACATGTTAATTATAGGCATCTCCCGCGAGAGATATACCTCCCAAAATTTTAAAGTTTATTTCGTTGGGATTAGAGTTAGGGTTAGGGCTAATATTTTAGCAAAATATATAGCAAAATTGCTCAAGGAAAACTTTTAATTGGAGCGCGAAAGGAAGGTTTCTTATGCGTATTTTTGAAAAATTAAAAATTAAGGATTTTTGTCAAAACGGATGTTTGTTTTGAATTTTCCTGATCGTACTACGTTACAAAAACTCGTGATTAATTGTTGTCGATCATCACGTTTAATTGGCTAATTTCGCGGGAGATGCCTAAAACATCCTTTTATTTATTACAAGAATTAGCTAATTTTTCAAAAATTCCTTTTCTAATAATATTTATGTTTATTAATATTCAAATTGTTAGTATGATCATCTATAAAGTTAATATTAGTTTTATGTATGATTATTAAAATCTTTTTAAATCTAAAAAAAAAAAAATTGATGCCGTTCAGTTGGTTATCCAGTCACGGGACGAGGACCCAAGCATCGTGTGACCAAAGGAGTGAAAAGTGAGTTCTTTTTATCGTTGACGAAATGCCTAGTGAATTACCGATTCGCGGAATTAGTGATTCAACAGGAACATCGTCTGTAATCGATGAGGTTAACCCGATCTTAGAATGAATCATCTGTCACAATTAACGAGATGACTCAAACACATCACAATGATGCACGGAACCCTCGAAGTACGACCAGATATAGAACCAACTAAAACTCGTTTCCCTTAGATGAGATCAACGGTCAGAAAAACCCCGTCGAAATCTTGAAAAAAAAAAAAATAAAATCCAAAGGATCCGAACCCGTACCTAACTATGAGATACCTAGGGAGACTCACAGGAGAATTACTCGCAAGCGAAAGACCCTTTCCCTGATCGTCGAACTCCCTAGAAATCAACTTTTCGCGACATCACGAAGACAGTTTCACACCGCACCTCACCGAAGAACCAAGTTTCTTCGAATTCACATGCGGAAGCTGGTCGTGAAATCGGTTAAAGTGGTTCCGGGCGATCGAGCAGGATTACAACGCCCTTGGTGGTCCCAACGTCCACTGCAGGAAGAAAGGTTAGTATATATATATATATAAAACGAAAAACAAGAAAAGACTGAGAACCAACATCCGAAAACGTTGGATGTCAGGCACGACAACCAAAGAAAAAAAGAAAAAAAAAAACGAAAAACAAGAAAAGACTGTAGAACCAACATCCGAAGACGTTTGATGTCAGGCACGACAACCAAAGAAGAAAAGAAAAAAACGAAAAACAAGAAAAGACTGCAAAACTAACATCCGAGGACGTTGGATGTCAGGCACGACAACCAAAGAAGAAAAGAAAAAAAAAACAAGAAAAGACTGCAGAACCAACATCCGAAGACGTTGGATGTCAAGTACGACAACCAAAGAAGAAAAGAAAAAAAAACTCCGAAACGACGAAAAGAAATAAAAACTCCGAAACGACGAATCTACTATAAAATAGAAAGAGAAAAAAAAGTCAATGTTTTAAACGTTCTGAAAAAGCAAATCATAAAAAAAATCTATAGAAGACGAAATAAAACAGGAAGACGTTTAAAAAAAACCACGAAGCGATACGTCAAGAAACGATATCGTAGTAGTACAACAAACAAAAAGAATATATCTAAAAAAATTAAACTAGAATAGGGATGGGTTCGGTCACGAACGGTCACAATTATTCATAGCCAATTTGCTAACTACTGAGATGATTTTTTACTTTTGAGCTTTTAATTAAAGTTGTTCAGAGTTAAATTCTAATCATCTCATCTTATAAGTGAAAAGAACGATACTTTCTCTGGAATTCGGAATTTCAAAATTTGTAACGTCATGACCGGTTATTAGCTGACAGTTAATAACCAGTTGGTATTAACATATTTTGAAATTCCGAGTTCCAGAGAAAGTATCGTTCTTTTCACTTATAAGATGAGATGATTAGAATTTAATTCTGAACAACTTTAATTAAAAGCTCAAAAGTAAAAAATCACCTCAATAGCTAGAAAATTGACTATGAATAATTGTGACCGTTCGTGACCAAACCCATCCCTAAACTAGAATGATCCAGGTTCCTCGACCTCAAGAAACATATCTCCTACTTCGTCCTTTTTCGGTGAGACGCGAACTCACAAGATGATCAAAGAAAGGACTAACTTTCGGCAAAACGAACGTGAACCCATCGATCAAGAGGACAAGGACCCAAAGAGAGAAACCACAACAACAAAGACCACAAAATAAAAAATAATAAAGAATAAAAAAAAAAAAAAAACTCTGTAAAACAACGACACCCGCATACGACGAATTTAATCCTTAAAAAAAAAAAAAGTTGAGTCTATTCGAAAACAAAATAACACTAATAGAAGTATTAAAAAAAAATTATGTTCCTTTTCTTCCTTCTTGTTCAAAAAAACTCCAAAATGAACGTCGACTCCTGCACACGACGAATTTTCTGTGAAAAAAAAATTGTTAATGTCTCTTGTTCGAGAAAAAAAAACAAATTAAAATAACAACGATGAAAAAATGTAAAAAATACTTCCCAACGCGTCTTTCCTTTTTGGTTTGATCTATGAATTGAGAAGGTGCATAAGTTGTTTTTCACAAAAAAATAAATAAAGAACGAAGAAAAGCGAATTGTAAAAGAAACAAGAACACTTTCCTATCGTTTTTGGGGTAGAAAACGAGAAGTAGTTGTTTTTCTCGATCTTGACGTTTCGATGAAGGGTCTTGAGATTCAACGTGGTTTAGTCCCAGTTTTTTTCCTTCACGATGGAATCGTTTGGCTGAGATGAGTTCCTCGAATAAGTTTTCGAAGTCGTAATGCCGAAGGAGTAGTCTTCTGTGATCTCACCTGTGTGAGAGTCAAGATCCAAAGTCGGTAAACGGGAAGATCGAAAAAAAAGTAAAGATAAAATATTGTAATTTTTGAATTTTTATAATTTTCGAAAGTAAACAAAGACAATGATTGGTCCATCAGGAGCGCATGATGAATGAAAATAATTACATATCATATAATGGAGTTTAAATCATTTGTTTTGATTTTCTGGCTGATCAAAATTTCACAATTTTGATTGGTTAAATGTAACAGGTGACCATCGGGCAATCTTAGCCTTATATCAGGTTACACTAATTGTAGATCACTTCCGTGAATCTCCCAACCAATTAAAATCGCAAATACAAAATGTCACATGCTAATCGACCAATCAATTTGCGATTTTAATAAATTAAAAAAAAAAAAATGAAGAAATAAAATTGCAGCGAGATTAAATTTTTATTTTAAAGCTTAATTCGAGTTTATCATAAGGTAAGCAAGTATACTCTTATCTATTCAATTTACCTATTATATATCTAACATTTAATTACCATCGTTACAGAAAATCTATATCAGATATGGTATACAGTATATATATAACAAAAACCCAAACATCTTATTCGTAATACTAATTGTTTATTAAACTTTTAAGCTTTAAAATTCTAATATGTACATGCTCGTATATATTGGATATAGATTCTTTATTACTAAAAAAATCACATCTCGATAATAAAAAAAAGATATACAGTAATATAATATGTTTTTAAACTATTGTATTTAAACTTAAAAGATTTCTAATAAAAAGAATATAATAAACATAAAAAAGCTTATATACTAACGCTTACCAAAGTTTACCACTTATCTTACTTCGTGAAATCATTATTTTTAGTTTATTCATGGTTTTTTTTGCGCAACGATCTAAATTTTGACAGCCTAATAATAGTATATTTTATATATTATTTCAGTTCTGATATATTTTTGTTGTAGTATAAAAGTTGGTGGATTCAAGTAGATTCAACTGATATTATTAAAATAAGCTACGAAAGCTTCAATTTTACTTAGTGCATTTGTTCATCTTTCATAGCAAAGATAGGTTACGCGAGTTCCTCAAAATAGTATTGTAAAACGTATAAAAAATTTTTTATCAATTGTGTAATGATCTTCAAATTGATGGGACGGTCGCTCCTAGGCCAGAAGAGACCATCCCAAATTAGGGGATCGGCTAAAGCGGAGCGAGATTTAGTTAGGGTTAAGGTTACTTTTTTGATGCATTTAGATTATTATTTATATATAAATATCAAGAATACGATTTATGCAATATGTAGATCATATATTGAATTAACTCCGCTTTAGCTGACTCCCAAATTAGGAAATCATCAGAAGATTGTTATACAATTCATAAAAGATTATTTATATAGTTTACAATACTCTTTTTAGAAAGCTATTGTAGCTTATTTGCATAATGTAATGTGAATTAAGTTATTAAGCAAACTTATAGTTTTTATATTATATTTTAATAAATTAGTTAGATAGTTGGATTCAAGTTAATTTACTAAACTTTATATTACAATTTTACTTAATATATAAATTATAAAATTATAATATAAAAGTTCAGTAAATTAATTTGAATTCAATGAAAGCTACAAGTTTGCTTAATGGTATTACAAGTGTTAGCTTTCTTATTACAACACAAGTAACATAAGATACAGAAGAGGAGTTCTCAATAGTGTCTAAGTAGAATATTACTTTACTGTAGCAGTTCGTTACAAAGTTAATGAAAGAGCAAAGATTCTACTTTATTTAAAATACAATATAAATCATACAAGACTATCTATTAGTTTCTATACTAAAAAAATTCTAATATTAAAGAGATTACAGAGGTCAAAACCTAAGTTGAAGCAAAGGAAAAAGGGAAGGTTTATATATCTTTTTAGAAAAAGTAGAAAAAGTAGAAAAGATAATTTGTCTTAATTTTGCTTCTAAGATAACTCAATACTAAATATCTGTTTTATATAATTTATAGCTCATTAGAAAGATCCTATCGAGCTAAATCTAATAGTCTAACTTAAAACTAACTTTAACTATTTAGTTTATCAAGAAATCGATATTAAATAAAATATATTCAAAAATTTAAATATATAAAATACTAATAATAGGTCTGATGATCTTAGTGTAGTGGTTAGGTTACCAGATCACCATGCAAAAGGTCTGAGGTTCAAATCTCACTATCGATGAATTTGAATAATTATTTGGATCTTTGTATCTAACTTATGATAAACTCTGTCTGTTTTTGAAGTTGTAACTCTGTAAATTACGTTGCACTAATATCATTCAAATATTGTAAGTATGATAAGGCATTTGGCGAGACATAATATTACACAAATAAATCTTGATAGAATCTATGAGCAGGAGACCTGCATAGTAGAAATCCTGAGTTGGTGAAATAATATGGCCTTCGACAGTCATACTGGCTAATACTTAATTCAGAAAAGAAACTATAATCAAAAAATGTAAATCGAGTTGAGTACGTATAAATTCGTTCTACAGAGAGGATTAGTAACACCAACTTGGCTTGGCAGCTAACTGAATTGGGAGGATCTGCTTTGTGAAATATTCAAAAAAATAGAATACAGAAAACTAGTAAAAAGCTATAGTAGGAACTGAGGTTGTATAAATATCTACAAAAGACTAAGCTAGGTGAATCCATAAAATAAATACAGACCACTCTAGTAGGTATGCTTCGAGGTTAACTGGCTCTATGATATCTACAATATGTTAGATACAATGTATCCTGAGAGGACCTAAGCCATTCTGAATAAATGGATCTAGCTAGCTTAAGCAGTAAGATGTTGCAGTGATGTTAGGTTGGATCTGTATAGGTTAATAAACAGAGTGTTTAAATAGATAACTCACAGGTGGATTATAAATATAGCAGCATAGTGTAGAACCAATTAGATAGTCTAATTACCTGTGTAGCAGATTACTTAAAATAGACAATGACTAAAGTTGTACATATGGCTTGTTGTACACTCTTCATATAATTACAAACAGTAGAGACTATCAATAAATATCCTGTATACAATTCTAATAAAATTCCTTCAGCAATATAAGCTACCTTAATAACAAAAAAAAAATAAAAATAAAATACTAATAATAAATAATAAAATAAAATAGATAAAACTCATTTTATAACAATAGTTTAATTCATATTATACTATACAAATAAACTATGATAGCTTTTTAAAAAAAATATTGTAATTTTTTTTTTTTTGAATTCAGCAGTCAGACTACAACTTTATTATAAATTTTTGTAATACAAAAACCAACAAAAAACTAAAAAAAATCCTATACATGGCAGTATTTTCTGTTTTCTAAAGTGTAGCTTCCCTAGTTTCTATACAGATCTGTAAATAACCTGCTATAATAAGTATTTTCCTCACTTTGCTATCTTATATATTCTAATGCTTTAATAGTAAAGATCAATGGTATGAAACTCACAGCCTATTCTGACTGCAATAGCAAGTTCCTAATTATCCTTCCTAAAAGTTTACTTTAAAGAAACAATAAAGAAAAATCTAACTATAATAATAAGAACTAAAAATAAAAATTGCATAGATCTAAGTGACAACAATCTATAACTATTATCTATATAAGTAAAAACCTACTACAGAAAAAAATATTAATGTAGAAGTAATAAAAAGAAAAGATAAAAAGAAATAAATAAAGAAAAAAGAAATAGATTGCCCTTTAGCCTGGACCAGGAACAAAAATATTATATTATAGCAATATAAGCATATCTCATATAATTTCTAACTGAACTCTATTTTTCAATTAATCTATCTTGTATTTTAGCTATATCTTCCAAAGACTGAATGCACGTAGTTACTTACATATAGCACAACAAAGATTCAAACAGACCAATTTGTCACATAGTTGCTTTCTCTGTGATATTTCAAAAATAGTAAAGATAAACAAAGATCATTGTTTACAAGGCGAAACTCAATTCTCTATTTTTCAAAAAAGAAAAAAGGAAAAAACCACAGAACTTTGGTATAGAGAGTTTATCCAAATAGAACTAAAAATTGTAAGCCAAAAGAGTGAGTATATTGCTACTTGACCCAGTTCAAGTAGTTTAGTGAGTTTATCTGCAATATTTCTACAAGTTATCTCATAGGCTAAGAAAAACCTAAGACCTGCTAAGGTCAGCAGCAAAGCTCCAGTAGGTCTCTTACAAAACTAGCGATAATAGTTTAAAGACTACACTCTGCCTAGTTCAAGATATTATTATAATATAAATTTTTAGTAGTTAAATTTTAATATTTAAATTCTATTAATTATATTTTATTAGTATAATATTTTTCTATTAATTTTAAACTATTTAGATATTTTTTGTATAACAACAAGCTACAAGATACTTTATGTAACTCAGCATAACCTACTTGTACCAAACTCTTTAATTCAAACAAAACTGCTTTTTTTGGAGTTCATGTAATGTTAGGTGCTGATTCAGAAGACCCTATTTTGAGGTTCCTATCTAGAGGTTCTCAACCTAAAGTTCCTAATCTAAAGTGTCTAACTTGAGGTTCCCATCTGAGGTTCCCATTTGAGGTTCTCATTTTAGGTTTCCAACCTAAATTTCTATAATTAGATTCCTATTTTAGATTCCTAATTTAGGTTCTCATATACTGGTCGAAATAGGAACATTTGGCACTGCAGCAATCAGCAAAAATTCAGCATATAATGATAAAGTATCAAAAAAAATCAGCAAATGACAATACTTTGAAAAAAAATTTTAATATGAATACTGAATGTTGTAGTTTTTCTAGTCACAATATTCAGCAAAATTAACAAGAATCAGCATTTTGATATTTGTATAAATGCTGAATATTGCAATTTTTAAAAGACTACATTCATTTTTAAATCGATTAAAAATTAGCAAAATAAATATCACCATAACAATATTTATAAAAGAGACGAATA